ACCTCCTAAAGTTACAGCGAGTTTTCCCTCACTGGCTGATTTCCTTAAATCTTAACCACACTGAAAGTGATACGTCGCCGAGCCAGCTGTGGGAAAGTAATGTATAGTTTCCCTGAGAATCTCCTGCACCTCCAACGCCCAGACAAGAAGCCAGTACTGAGCTGTTGTCCAGACCTTGACCTTGCAACTGGTGCAGCTAAGCACCAGCACTGGTGCACTGCAGAGAGCTGCAGGCCAGGTGCTGTCATGCTGTCCTCTGGAGCATTTACAGACCACGACGAGCCCTCTGCCTCTGATCTCTGCAAAAATCTGTTTGCCAAACAGATCAGGGAATACGATAGCGTTGCATGTATGGATCTTTTTCACGGGACAAAGGTATGCGACCCTCGGTTCCAAGCGAGATTCGATGTGTTTTACATGGCAGTCAACTGTGAATGGGCACGGCGTCGGGGTGTGTGTGGGAGTCGTGGAGCTTCCAGCAGGACCGGGCCCGTCTACAGACATTTTACACACAGGCTCTCCATTCCTGAGTTTAAGATCAACACGCCGGCCCTTGATCTCCACATCTTGTCTTCCAAGCAACTCTGACTACAGAAGAGAGCCACTGGAGTTCATGATAGCGAAATAACTCATGTCATACACCAGCAGAGGAATGACAGATAATCTACATCTCAGATGAAAACCAGCTTTACGGAGATAGGGTTACACTTACATGCTCTCTTTTTTAACTGTCACTGTAATCAGCTTTAGACATGCTGGGATCACTGGTGAGCAACAGTGTCTGTGGAAATACCTTCTATAATTACAGTTTCCAAAACCGGCATTTGTATGGCGCTGTTGTTTAACCCAGTGGTTTGAGCCTGAGCTTGGAGTTTATTTTCAAATGAGCCAAGCAGCAAATGAGATAAATCCCCTCAGATTACAGTGAAATACTTCTATAAACCAAAACATGTAAAATGTGCATAAATAGAAAGGGTCATTTATCAGCCGTGGAGAAATATTGTATGTGCAAATTGCACATCGCAGTTTTTGTTTTGCAAAACTTTCGCCGCAGCGTAAACGTTTGAGTTTTTTCTTTCTTGTTTTTGCTCTGTCGCGGAGTTGCACGACTCCGGCTGAATAAAGTATTAATGTCTGATGAAGAATGAGTCTCACAGGGCCATTGTGTCACGGATCTCAAGAGGATCGAGCCAATATCGTGAGTCCGGAGGCTCACCGTGGAATAAGGACACTCGACTTTCACCCAGGAGGATCAGGGGCTGAATGGGTGCAGAGTTGCTATTATGCCCGGGGAAAATATTCCCATGCTGCTGCCGAGTTGCAGAACGAAACCTTCGACCAAGCGTGCAGTGCAAAAGAAAAAAGTTTCATGTTAAAATAAAGTGAATTAAATCAGGCGTTCTTAATGTTTCAAGATGATGTAAAATAAGATGAGATCTTTTTGATTTTAGTACAAATGAAAAAGCTCAGTCGTGTTTTTATTTTTTAAATCTGCTCCCTTTCATTTTGTCTGTTTGCTAAAAAGCGCTGTGATAAAAATGATAAAGGTTTAACTCTGATGAGGTGGCCCTACATACACATCTGCCTGCTCACCAGTGTAATTGCTCTCACATCAGATAGCATTCCATATTCAAATTCAAACCAGGAGTCTGATTAACAGCCATCGTGAATGCAAGAAAGCCAAAAACTTGAAAGGGAAAGTTCAAATGGAAACAGTGAACCGTATCGTTTAGTTTTCATTTTGCCTCTCATCACAAACCAAACACTGAACAGCGCAGGGCTCTGCTCTGACTGACTATCGACGAATAACGAGGACGGGATGTCAAAGCCTCCTCGGAGGGGTGAAAATCCTCCAATTTGACGTGGCGAGAGACCGTGACAGCTTCACATCACTCAGGTGAAAACCCCATCACTGCTGTGAAGGCACGCCATAGCTCACAGTGGGGCTCACCTCAGAAACGGCGACCTTTGTAAAGCCTGCGCCTCGCAGCGCAAACCTGGGCCCACATCTTTCGTGTGCCATGTGTTTACAGCCCTGGTCTGTAGCGGGCTTTGAAGACGGCGCCCTTTCATCAAGCGACAGATGGGATGCACTTTTTGAAACATGTCATGTGGTCCTCCAGGAGCGCTCGGACTGCGCTTCAACCACGATGAGCTATGTGTTCGCGAAGCCACCGCACGATCATTCCCGAAATAAATACCATCGCCATGGATGCGGTGACCTGAGCTTGGGGCATAAAACTCGCCTACATTATGGGTTAACCATCCAAAGGAGGAGTGGATTCCAGTAATACAGCTAATCAAACGCATTGCAGGCCTGCCATATCATCAGAACATCATAAATATCAGAGCTAAACGAGTCCAGTTGTGGCACGGAGAAGAGCAAACACGCTCAAATACTTCTTTTTCTCTGCAGTGAGCACAAAACAGTCACCAAAGATGGAAACGAGAAGATCAGGACAATTAATTTCATCACAAATGCCTTTTTTATCCTCTCCCGCTTCACGTTATCCGAGCTAAACCTGAACACAGAGCTGCAACCTACAGCTGTGAATTACAAATGTGTCTATAATCCATTAACATGTCTCAGGATCTGTTCTGTTATTTACCGTCTACAGAGCAGCTGCAGGATTTGTCTCCTGACATCACCGCTACAGTCTGACTCGTCCCTGCTCGGCCAGTTCGAGCCATCAATTAAAACGGAGCTTGAAAACGAACAAATGTGGATTCTGTTTTTTGGGGCTTGGGGGGTTGAGTTCCCCCTTTTAAAAAAAGAGACATTTTTTCTTGTGTCGAGGACAGCAGCGCCGCCTCGCACGCATGCTTAATCACTGCGTGTCTGCAGAGGTGCTGCTGAAGAGGAGCAAAAGGTGCTGAGGGCAGGGGGGATTGAAGTGAACCCTGTGGGTGGGGAGATGACTTCAGCAGCTCGGGACGCGCCGTCTCTCCGCCCGCACCCCTCCTGGTAAACAGAAAACCCAAGAGCGATAGAAGAATCACAAGGACAGGCACCAGCCTGGCTGCAGGCCTCCAAACAGCACAATAGATAAATTGTGCAGATACATCTGGTTCTTATGAATATACCCCTTTAGATTGTGGTTGATGGAGGCGTGAGAGCACCAGAGCATCCTTATACACGATCAAAGCCAACTTCTTCAAGGAATACAAAAGAATTTGAAATTGCGAGCTGTGTGCCCGTTGCTCTGTGGAAACGGTTCAGGGCGAACAGCAAGTCGCGCTTTGCACAGGTTCAGGAAGCGAGCCGACCTGACACGGGTCACTTCAGAGACACAAATGAAGCTTGTGAGCAAATCATGATTCATGATCAGAGGAGGTCTTCTACAACTTGCTGGTAAAGGAGCACACACGAGGACAATCCTTCGCATATTACTTACTGTCTCAAACAATATAGTTTTACAATGGCGAGTACAGATGAAGTGTTCTTGAAACATAGAATCAATAAGCTGACATCTGAATAATTCAAACCAAAAGTTTTGCTCTTAGTACAAGAAGGATCTGAATTCTTGCCCCTGCTGCCAATTTTCCCTGAAAGGGAACCTTGAAATAAAATCCACTTAAGCCCTCTGTCTTCCCCTCCAGAGTGCAGTTAAATCCTTGCTGTGTATGGACATAATTACAGAGTGTCACGGATCTTACATCAGCGCAGAACCCTGACTTCCAGCAGGAAACCCGGTCCACGGGTCAATTACGGCAATAGGATGTGCTCTTTATGCTCAAACGTACGGGCCACACCTGAGAGTAACAGCGTCCAGCTCCACATCCAGCATATAAATAAATAAAGCGCAGCTTGTAGGAGGTGTACAGCTCACGGGGGAGTGTGGAGTTATTGCAAAACAGCATATATACGTGCTGCTGCAGCGAGGACCTCAAACCCTGTGGCTGGTGGCCCACAGCAGAGGCCCGAGCTGGGCACCGACAATTGGACCATTGTCAGGGAGACGTGCTGTTCCTGCTCATAGGAAGAATACGTGACTATTTTAAAAAAAATGTTAGATGATAGAAGCTTTTCATGTCAGCAAACGTGTTTCAATAATGAAGCCACTTTGTCACAGAAACAATCAGACACAGAAGTCATTTAGTCAAATCAAAACAAACTGAAAATCTGATCAGATCTGAAATAAGCTGTTTGTCAGTATAGATTCTGTCAGTAAATAAGTTCCCAGGAAGACTTGGATTAACCCAGAGGAAATTAAAATATTGTGCAACGCCACTTTAAATTTAGTTTATAATGTGGCACAACAATATCGCCATTGTTCCAACAGCCAGACAGAAAGTATTAACCTACTGCTAAAACAAAGCCTTAAATGCTAACAGCTACATAACCTTGTTTCTCCAATTTCAGCGCAGCAGGGTTTGTATTTTTTGGAAATTTTTGCTTCTTCATGTTGGAATTAATAGCAAATAATTGACAAGAAAGTCAGACAATGCCCTGCAGCAGACCTACACAATGCATCTATTCTGAAAACATTACACATTAACCAAAGCGTAGTTGTAACAATGCAGGCAAAGAGCGCCGATTTGCATCACTAGCGAAAAGTAGCCGGCAGTCTCTTACATGCCGAGCGTTGCAGCGCCTTTACTCATCGCTGGAGGACAAACAGAAATTGTGTAACACACATTTACCTGCTGTCCACAGATAACTTAGTGGTTGTATGACCTTAATAACAAACCTCCCTTTAAACCCACATCCTTGTTGATCAGTGAGTGAGTCATGCAAGTCACGCTCCACTGAATACAACAGCCTGACCAGCATTTAGCAATCATGGATGTATCATCAAGTAGCATTCTTCAGGAAGAACGCATCGTTATTATAAAACCTGGCTCAGAAGAAAACATACACATTACAACCAATCCCACACATCCCAGCATTCATCAGTCACTTTCTGATGGCCCCATTGCGCCATCTTGTGTTAACACACTGATATGGCAACAGGCTTAAAGCAGTTCTACAGGAAACCACAAGTCCAAGACCCAAAGCATCTTTTTGGAGCATTTTATTACTTTTTTGACAAATATATATGAAGGTTTTCCTATTAAGGAAACATTCTTTCAAAGATAAGTTTACAGCAAATTCATTCCTGCAAAGAGACAGGAAACAGATATGATGGAGCTAACCATTTCTATTTGTGCCCAGTAAAACGCAAGGGTGCAATTTAATCATTAGAATCAACCGATAACAGTGACACAAAAGTCAGTGTGGTCATTTCTGGTAATGAAAAACAAACAAACCCAAAAAAAACAAGTATTTTTGAATGCCAATGGGACGTCTTTAAACATCCGTGTTATGATTCGGTGGGGTGAATTATTAGTTTTGCATCAAGGCACACAAGCATTGATAACTGTCAGTGGAGCATCATTTGTTTTCTTGATTTTTTTTTTGCCAAGACACTGGTCCCACTTGGCAGTACAGCTGTACAAACTACAGAATAAAAACAAACCAAAAAAAGCATAAGATAGGACATTGCATGATTATAACCAAAGGGAATCTCAAAGAATTCAGATCGATAAATGTACACAGCAATATTGAGTTCAGATCTGGGGACCTCCACCTGTGTCGAGCTCTTCAGTATGGTAGGGGGTGACATCGCACTGACTCTCACTGCTCAAACGTGCTAGCCGTTACAGAGGATGCAGCTCAGCGAGGGATCTCTTTTCCTGTTCACAAAACTCCTGTAAACTCCTCCTTCCCTGCCTGAAGTTGCTCTCCCTCCTTGAAAACGGTAAGATGACCTGAAGTCGGAGGAGAGTTTCAATGTTGCTGAAACTTCTAATGTGTGACGTCTTGAGTGTGTCGAGCACTGTAGTCGGAAGATAGCCTGCCAGAGGATCCAGCCATTTCTCCTTCCATGACTTCATCTCAGAGTGAAGGGAGGCCTGGTCTGGCAGGTCCTCCTTGTACAGGCGGAACACAAGACCACTAAGAATGCTGGTTTCTACTTTGGACATTGCGTAAGGCACAATCTCCAGACACCTTAAGGTATCCAACACCTTTTCTGCGAAGAGGTCATCGATTTCTGCTATCGAATGCTCTACAATTTTCATGCTTAAAGATTCTTTGTAAAACTCGCTCAACGGCTCGAGGAGCGCTGAATGCAACATCGTAACGTGGAGTCTAGACGCCAGGGCAACAGCTTCCTCAAACCACACTTTGTGATGGCTGTCAAGATCACTCTTCAGTTTACTGAGGGATGCTTTGACATCAGGCAAGTTGTTCACGGCGAGCAACATATCTAAGGGTTTGCCCTGAAGCGACTGGCTTAGCTTTTTTGTAACAGCCAAGACGTTCTTCTGCACCACCGTCGACAGAATGAACTCAAAGTTTCTGATTGTGTCAAAGAACTGAGATGCTTGTTGCTGGTTTGAAGTACTGCCCTCCACTTTCAGCTCATTCAAGCACAGCATGATTGCTTCTAGGATATCTACAAACACCTCGTGCATGTCGTGACTCTTCTCCCAGTTCTTCATGAGCCTGTCCCTCAACTCGTTGCCCTTTCCCTCATCGCGCTGGAACACTTGAATGATCACGTCTTCCAGCCTGTTCTGGCGTTTCGCGTCTTCTGTGAGCCAATGCAACAGCTTACCGATGAGAACTGCTCCATCGGCTGCCTCTTCGGCGGGACAAGACCTAGCGAGCCACACGTTGAGAGACAAAGCAGAGCTGACAGTTCTAATGGCATGCGGGTATTTCTTAGCTATCGCTAAACTTACAGCCCTCATCTGAGCTCCCACTTCACCGACACTCAGCGAGGCCTGACCTCTACAGTACTCCATGTTGAGCCCCCACTTCTCCGACAGGGCGTTTTCGATAGCATTCGCAAGGGCGGCTGGGTCTTCGCTAAAGGGGATAAAGGCCAGCGTTTCCTCACACTGGATATCCTCTTTGTTCAAGTACCTGATGCACAACGGGACATAGAGCTCTCCGTCAATTGCAACTGCTTGCTCAGTTATAACTGTGAAGAACTGAGAGTCCCAGAGTTCCTTGAGGATTTCTTCACGTAGCTGGGGTTCGTAGAAGGACACGGCTGTCCTCGGTCCTGGAACCATCTCCAGTATCACGTCATCCTCGGCGGATTTCACCTCACCGTCTTTGGCTTTCTCTGCTACACTGGAGCCATCTGACTCTGTTGGGGCTGCTGGTTTTCTTTCAATGGCGGCTATTTAAAAGATAACAAATGTATTCAAATATTAATTAACACACACACACAAATTGCTACTCTTGGTGTCTGTTAGAACTACTCTACCGATACTTTGTTGCCAATAAAGCACTTACCGCTGTCCAGTCTGTGTTTTTGCAGAAATTCCATTACCTGAAAATAAATGTGCAACTATGTGAGTTGTTTGCAGTTTTAGCAATGAAATTATCCACATTATGAGTTATGGCTGCATTAGTCGTTTGGAAAAAGCTGCTATTTTATAGCTCAAACTGGCAAAGACTCTTGACTTGAACACTTGGTGGGATGAATTAATGGCAGGGCTAGTTAATCAAAATGAAGAGGGTATTAAAATTACCTGGGACAGGCATGGGCTGCTCTCTGGATCAACCTCCACGCACTTCTCAATGACCTCTGGCAGCCTCGTTAGTGTTGTGCAGTGAGAGAGGAGCATCACATGATCTGTTTTGCTTCCTTTGCATACAGTGTTTCTCAACAGATCCCTCATCGAATTCAGGGTAGTCTTCATCAGATCACACTCCATACTGACACTAGGCAGGACAGCTACTAGCCTAAGCAGTAAGGTAACAGTTGGATGGCTCTTGGACTCGGGGTGGACTAGTGTTTCAGCGATGGATGTTGGAAGAGCAACATCTTGGTAGTTCTCCCTCCACACGGCTGCCCAGGTGTTGAGCTCTTGTTCGGCAACTTCGGGCTCGGGTAGATCTGTAAGGTAGAGGCTGAAAGGCTTGTATGTGGACTCGGACAGTACGGGCTGTGGATTGCAAGAAGGCAGCAACGACAGGACTGACAGAGCCTTTAGGTGGCTGTCTGAGAAGCTGTACTTCATTTCATCAATTAGACTTTGCAGAAGTGGGATGCTGAGATTTTCTCTGTAATATATTTCTGGTGATTCATAGCTGTTTGCTTCCTCTGAGAAGCACACTTGCTCCGGAGCGACCCTGGTCGCCAGCTGGAATGCTTGCTCAAACCAAGTGGCGTGCATAGCGCTAACATTTTCTAACATTTTGTTGAGGAACTCTATGACGGAGGGGATTTTTTCCGCTTCACAGAGGATATCAGCAGGGTTTCCACAGCGAAAAACAGTGCTACAGTTACGAAGAGGAGCGCACGCGTTCTTCAGTATTACAAGGGTGACGATGTAATCCATATTTCGCAGAGCAGTAGACAAAACTTGCGCATGCATTGATTTGGCACCTGTGGCAGTAGAGCTCACAGCGTCTAGGCAGCTAAGAACACCCTCTAATGTGTCAGCAAGTATGTCAAAGAAGTCCTCCCTCTTTTTCCACCTCGAGCAACAGGTTTCTGGAATTTCCTCCAGGGCCTCCCTCGGCATATTTAGAAGCCCGTCGATAGCCTGCGCCAACTGTCTCTCCAAACTAGGAGACTCGTCAAAGAACAGCAGCAGGTCTTCTGTAACATCCAGCATTTTTGCAACCGATGAGCAAGGCACACTTCTCGCCAGCCAATGGGCAAGGCCACAAGACTCACTGGGCGTCACGACACAAAGCGGGTAGCTCCTGAGGAATTCCAAAGACATTTTCTTCAAGCTTTGATAACCTGGGCCCAGCTGCATGAACGCCTGCCCCCGGCACTGCGACATAGGCAAGCTCCAGTCTTCGGTGAGAATCTTTGCGAGGTTGTTCGCTTGTCTATCAACATGGCAGTTTTCGTCAAACGGCAGAAAGCCCAGGAACTCGACTTTTGGAGCCGACTCTCCGACGTACCTCACAAAAACAGGTAGATGGGTCTTGTCACCAATTTTAACAGCCTTGTCTGTGATGAGCGAGAAGAAAGGAGATTCCTGTATTTCTTTCAGTATGACGTCTCTGATGCCATTCATGAGGAGCTTCACCATTTCGTCACTGCCTATAGAAGATGTGTTTTTTCCCTCGCATCCAAACCAGTGACACATCCTTAGTTCCTGGATAAAAAGTTCTTGGTCTTCTTCTGAGAGCTCACAAATAGTGCTATTCTTTTTCCCGAGTAGTGCAGCCAGCCGGAAAAGTGTTGCCAGACTCTGACGATTATCACCTTTGCTCCCATTCTCATCTGCCAGTTTCAGCTCGGGCTCCTCCATCTTGTCTGGAGATTGGGGGATTTGGAGCTCCTCAGCCTCCACCTTTATGTATTCAACTAATAAACGAGAAAAAACAACAACACAGTGACTTTGACAAGTATTAGAAACACGGCAAATAAACCCCATAATGTCTCATAGCAACCGTACCTTCCATATTATTTTCAGTGTTCTTGTTGAAGCTCTTGGATTCCTTATCCTGTAAGAATACCGAGGTATATTATTCCACTGTTCATTAAAGAAACCCAAAATAAAACAAACTATTAAAAAAACAGAAGCACATACCAGACAGATACCCTCCAAGGCTTGTGGCGTAACCTTCAAACACTGGGTCACCATGCGGTCCAAGTCTCTGCTGAAGTCCGTGCCCACCTGCAGCAGAGCCAAGCACGGCGACCTATCTTTGGGATTCGTATCCCTCAGGTACTCTTGGAACTTCTTGTGGCGCATTACAACGCCGCAGTCCTCCAGCGCCGTGCTGGGCAGCACCGACATAATCCTCAGCAGCGCATTGATGTTCCCAAAGTACTGCATGAGCGGCAGGCGTAACGTGTGAAATATGGAGCTCGGGATGGTCACGGACGCCACTTTGGTCTTCCACGTCACTCTCCAACAGCACAGCTCGGTGAAGAAGTTGTCGGCGTCGGGCAGATCGCTGCTGTAGAGGGGCGGCTTTGATTTCAAGCTCTCAAACACGTAACTCACTGTGACCGAGCACGGGACCAGCGACAGGAAGTTCAGAGCTTCTTTGTGGTCTTCTGAGAAATGATCCTTCACAGTATTGATCAGGTTGTCGACCAGCGGCACGCTTAGGCCATCTTTATAATAACCGACCGGCTTTATCATGCTGTCCCGTGGCAAAGAGTTCTCAGGCACTTCAATCTGCACTCTCAGACTCTGCGCCATCGCACAGGCCTCGTCGAACCAGTTCTGGTGAAACACCTTCATGTTTGTTTTCACTCGGTTCAGAGTGGCCACAATACCGCTGATCTGACAAAGCTGGGATGCAGCAGTGAACTGGTCCTTCTGGATACCAGCACTCAGCTCTCTGGTAAAAGACGACGCGTTCTTCAGCACCACCATGGCGATGATGAAATCAAACTCCATGACCTTGTGGAGAAGTGCTCCGGCTAGTTCCGAAACAGACGCTTTCCATCTCTGCGGGTTGTTTTTGACTTTCTCCAGACATTCGACCAGAGGCTCCAGCATCTGCACAAACACCTCGTAAGAGTCGTGCTTCTCTTGCCAACAGGAACAAAACTTGCCCTGCAACTCCTGGACTTTTTCGTAGCTCTCTCTGAGACCAAAGTCTATCACGTGGTCGAGCTGCTTTTCTAGAGCGACGCTACTGCCAAAAAACATCAACACCTCTTCGAATGTATCCAGGGCTCTTTTAACAGCAGGCACTGGGATGGATTTCGACCACCACGTGTTGAAAGAGTAGCAGGAGCAGTGTGTGCTTATAGCCAGAGGATACTTCTCTTGCACTTTGCAAGCAAAGGCTTTCAGCTTGTAGGAAACATCGCCAGAGCCCAGGTACGCTTGACCTCTGCAATTTTTCAAATCGAGATGCCACTCCACGGTAACTAGTCCCATAAGACGCTGTACCATGACATCGCATTCCAGATCCGCCTCGAGGAATCCCATCAGCTCTAAGCGCATGACATCGAAACTGTCCACAAACCGCAGAAAGAGCGGCAGATAGTCTCTCTCGCCCAGCTTCACGACGCGGTCAATAAACAAGGAAAAGAACGAGCTCCCCACCTCCATGATGATTCCCTCCCTGACAACGTTCTCGCACACACTGAGAACTTCTTTCATTTCAGACTTGGTCACGTACTCGACTTCTCCATCCTGAGGAGGACAGGCGTCACCGTGGAGCCTGCTTTGGCTGCTGTATGCAGAGGTCACCGCAGCCTGTAGTGCAGACTTCAGAGCTTCTCTGTCGGTTTCTGCACATTTCATCTCCAC